AGTTGATAGTGTATATACAGTGTACATAGATATTTTAGTGTTGATAGGATTTTTTCTAAGTATATATATTTTTTTAATTCCACGGAAGTGTATAGTTTATCGTGTATATAATAGAAAATAGTGTGTGATATTTGCAAAAATGGATCATTATCATTATCATCCAGCCATCATTATCATCATTATAAATTCTAAAATTTTACTATACTAAACATATTTTCATTTTATATTTCTCTTCTATTTTTTTATGTATACTTTATTAACTTCTATGCAATTTTAATACTTTCATATTTTTAAACATAGAACAGCTATTGGCTTCAAATGTATTGTAAACGAATATATAAAAACTAATTATACTCCACAAAGATCATAGTATATAAATAGACTTCATACTTTACCTTAGTTATATGGACTTGTAAATTTTATTCCAATAAATAAATAAAAAAGATGACATCAACTACAATGTGTTAGTATATAACAGAAATAATAATGTAATAAATAATGACTTTTTATTGAAATCTTATTAACTGATTAATGTTTACATTTTTTTTATTTCATTCTCTAGAGGTTCATTCTCGAACATAAGTTTTCTTTTTTGTTGAAGCATTATTTCCAATTCTACTTCTTTTTATTTTATTTGTAGGGCTTGGAGTTTTGCTTGAAAGGCTCTCTATTCTTTCTTTATTTCCTTCTCTATTTCTGTCCACTATGAAACTCTACATGAGCACAATCCTCTATTTGATTTTCTTCTCTGAAAACAAAAAAAAATAAATAATTTGAATTGTATTAAATACTGAAGATTACATACCTGTTACTACAAAAAGCTTTTATCCAGTGTAGATTCATCATCATACGGGTTGTTCAACCCAACGACTGTTTTGTTGTTTATGATTTCCAATACAGTCTCATCTGGTTTATTCTGAGACTCCTTCAAATTATTGTCACTATACTATTACTATAAATTACTATTTTTCAAAACTATCCCTAAATTTTAAATTATTATTTACCATTATTAACTAGCAACAGAATAAATTCGCAAAATACACAAGGATTACCATTTACAATAAATATAAATATTATAAAATATTGAAATGACATTAAAGACAGCATCAAAAATGACAAATGATACAAATTTTTCTTCTTTTTTGTTGTTTTTTTTGTTAATAACGAGTCAACAGGTTAAGAATTTTTGACAACTTTGCGAAGTTGGTATCTTTGATAACTTAAGTTTTTTCTTGGTTAAGTTAAGTAAGAATTTGTATGGTGGAACGCAAATTTCAACTAAGAATTTTTTTTGACTAGGCAAAACTTACGTAAGATTTTACTTAGATCACGTTGGTGGAACCGGGCGTAAGAAAACTAAATTATAGTACACTTGGCTTGTATTATTAATATTTCTTGTAACACATATAACATTTCTTGTAATATTTTTATAAATAAAGATTTTATTCTATATTTTATTCTTTAATTTTTTGACCACTTTGGCATTTTAATGTAATGTAAAATAAATATAGTCTCAACATAACAAGAAAACCCAAAAAGTATACGAAAAATATTTATTATCGTATAGGATAAGGATTTTTCTTGTTATTTTAAGATTATATCGATTTTCCTTTACTTTAAAATGAGTTCACAATCCTAGGTAATATTACAAAAATTTTGAATTTCGCGCCATGTATTTATAGTTAGGCGCCCGGTCACTAGGTGATGCGCCAATCATTGTATTACTCGTCAACACGGAAGTTTCAATGCTAGGTGGTAGTGTGCTATGAGCATAATGACGTATAATATATAGACTACGCAGTCACAGAATAATAAACAATCAGAAGGGCCACTCTCAGATGCCGCCTTTGAAGTTTTTCAGCACGCGCGCCATGTTTTAGGAGGATACAAACATATGATTTGTGAGGTTATGCAATTGTTTACATTTATGTTTAATTATATTGTATTTATGTTATTATATTTAAAACTGTTAATATAATTGTATAGTATGTCTATGATTGCCGTAAGTAAAATAAACCTGTTTTTTTTTCCATGCACACCACATAAACAACACTGGTTCCCTTTAAAATCCTAGTAAAACATGGCGTGGCGGAACGTCTGCGTGAAGGAGATGCGCGTATACTTCATCTAATTTAGATAACGACTTACGTCATTATCTACGTCAGAGATCGAAGTTGACATAGTTGCCAAAGTTTAAAAAAATCCTGACTCCATTTTAAATCAAATAGATTACATAATTATTACAAAAGTATTACCATCTCTTTACAACGACTATTTAAATTCTTATACGCTTATAGAAGAATCTTTCACTGTTATTTTTGAAAGTTGCCAAAAGATGATCGCACGTTATGAAAAAGAATGAGAGGGTGGATCGAGATGTTAGTACCAGTAGGAAGCGGTCATGTCGGCGCTATTATTGCTTTTAAAATATGAAAGAGTGGGGCAACAAATGCAACAGATATTTTTATGTAGATGCCGCGTGGCCGTAGATTAGGATTAAATTTTTGCGTTTTATAACATTTTTTAAAGAAGATAATATTTTATATATAGGTATATCGGTTTTAGAACGTCTTTCGACGTTGTCCGATGCCTAACTTCCACGTCCTTCTATCATCCCATTGGCCGTCTCTAAGATCTCTTGTACTCATTGCTTTAGTTACCCCTTCTTTCCATGTCTTCTTGGGTCTTCCTCGTTTTTTGCGGTTTGGTGGTACCCACTGCATAATCTTCTTGGGTAGTCTTGTGTCTTCCATTCTTTGAACATGACCATACCAAATCAACTGTTTCCTCTCAATGTCTGTTGTTAAGTAACCATCTATTCCAATTCTTCGTCTTACTTCCCCATTTCGAACTCTTTCCCTGCGGGATATACCTAACGATCTTAATATTATTTATATTAATAATATTTTAACTTTTAGTAAATGAATCCTATTAGAAAAATATGATGATTCAAATTTTTAATTTAAATATGTACAAATCTACAAATAATATACTTAAAACTCTTTTCTTATTAACTATAAATAAAATTAATTCAATCAATAAAGTCATCAATCACCGGAATTAAACATTTCCAAATTTTCTAAATTTAATAATTTCTTCTTCTTTGTTTTTAATATAAAATAACATAAAATGTAAAACACAACACTGTTTTTCTGCAGAATAATGGAAAATTGTCCAAAAAGTGGAAAATTAAATTTTTGATTGAAAAATTTTGAAATTTTTAAAAAATATTTCGTTAATTTTTGGACAGAAAAACAGTAAAATAAAAATTTATTTGACGGTTTTTCGTTGTGTTGGAACAAACCTATTTTTAATTCAAAGTTATAACTGTAAAAAATAAATGCTTTGAATATTGTAAATATCATACCTTTTTAAGTTTCAAAATTAAAAATTTAACAATTTAATATGTTAAAAATAAAGATTTTATTGTGAAAAAAACAAAAAAAAAGCACGGGAATTTTTTTAATCGTAGATGCAAAGTAAAATAAATAGCTCCGTTCGTACTCCTTTCCCACTTTCCCCTAACTACATCTTTTATGATAGTTTTAAGCCGACTGCCAGATGTGTTTTAAAGTATAAACCGTATCCAAATCGCCCATTTGAACTGTTCTTCTATAAGCGTCTATATTCTTTGCTTCTACTTCTAAAGTAGAGAACTGATGAAGCTTTAGAAGTATAAAGCGAAACGTCTTCTATAAACTTATGAAGTAGTTGACTTCTGTTTTCTATTTTGCCAACCTGACTGACCGAATAAACCTCTGGATTTCACTAGTTGAATACTTTATTAATATAAATTGACGGTCGTAGTCTTTACAATATATATATATATATATATATATATATATATATATATATATATATATATATATATATATATATACGTGTTAAACAACGTGTTGACATCTTCACATACCTTGGGTCGCTATTGACTGCTACCAATAAAACAAGCGAAGAAATCAAAAGACGAATAAATCTTACAAATAGGGCATACTATGGACTCCAAAAGCATTTCCACTCAAGAAACATTCAAAGAAAAACTAAAATTATTATATACAAAACATTGCTGAGGCCGGTCCTCATATATGGAGCAGAAACATGGACATTAACACAGAAAGATGAAAGACTTTTGGGAATATTTGAGCGTAAAATACTCCGCAAAATATTTGGAGCTGTAAACGACCAAGGGCAGTGGCGCAGAAGATATAATTTTGAATTGTATCAGCTCTTTGATGAGCCAGATGTCATAACGTTCATTAAAACACAGCGACTTAGATGGGCTGGACACATAATACGAATGCCAGAAAATACGATTGCTAAAAAGCTAACCACAGGAACACCTGTAGGAAAAAGAAGCAAAGGCCGACCGCGAATTAGGTGGTTAGATGGAGTAAAAACCGACTTACGAATATTAAAAATCAGAAGATGGCAACATGTTGCCAAAAACCGAACAGAATGGCGACGAATCTTAGAGCAGGCCAAGATCCACAGAGGATTGTCGAGCCAAAGATGATATATATATATATATATATATATATATATATATATATATATATATATATATATATATATATATATATATATACATATATATATATATATATATATATATATATATATATATATATATATATATATATATATATATATATACATATATATATATAGTGTTGCCACAGAATAATAAACAATTGGTATTTATTCTGTGGGGTTGTCAACTAAAAATATACTTTACTAATTCACAAGATGGATGGCATATTTAAAAATTAATGTAAAAACAGGAAAATTCTAAACGAGAAATATTGAAAAAATTTGCATTAAAATATAGGTAGCGAATGTTTAAATTCATTATCAGAAACCAGAAAGTCATATACGGTATATATTACAAATTTCAACTTAAAACGGTGGTTCCCGGCTGCTAGACTATTACCCAATTTTAGTTTAAAATATGTTTATTGTTCGTGGGTTAAAGAAGAGGGTGTGTTATTTTCTTGTTAAATTTTTTGATAACTACTTTATTGTAGACGATTATTACATATCATTAGTATTATAATCATTTTAATTGAAAAATTAGACTAAATCCATTTTCGTTTCACCATTTCTGTGAATAAAAACACAAATTTCTCCTTAGCTCCAGTATGAACATCTCCTCCATTTTCATTTTTCTTAGACTTTGAAGCTATCATGGTCATGCTTCCAATGTGTATAAACTTATCTACAGCTGCTTCCTTTACTTTTTCTATAAAAGAGTCATACTGAAAATAATTTTCAGTACATTTGAGTGGCTTTAAAATCTTTACAAAATTGTCGTAATAAAACCGTAACAAATAATCAAAATTTCTTTGAAGAACTTTACTATTTACACTGGTAAAAAGAAAATATACCAAATCTAAAGCCAGATTATCTATAGTGTATATTTGAAAATCTAAAAGTTTATTTTTCTTAGGCTCTTCGATTGTTTGCAAAATGTTATTGATCCACATGTCATTATGACACAAAGTTGAAAACTTCCCGTTAGGATCTTTTCTTTTAAAAAACACTATAGGTTGAGTTTCTTCTTTAGTTTTTTTCACAATTTGTTCAAACTTGTCTAAATTAGCTTTACAAAATTCACTTTCTTCTAACACTTCGCGCAATAGTTCAAACGGAAATGGTGGAGGCGTGTTATTTTCTCCATCTGTAGGTTTAGGAAGTGGTAGGGGGTCTATACAGTTATTTTTAATTTTTGTTTGAAATAGAAGTGAATTTGAATGTTTTATGGCTAGTGGAACAGCATGGAAGGTAGCTATGTCTATCAGAAGCGATTTGGTTTCTTCTAAATTGAATCCTTTAAGTTTATCCATATTTTGGTAGCCTAAAAAATGAAGAGTAGTGGGTATTTTAGTAAAGAACATCGTACAGATAGTAAACAACAACACAATAATACAGATGGGTACAGTAGACTCGCGATTATCCGAGTTCCAATTCATCGAGCCTCTGAATCAACCGAGGTAGTAATCGAAAAGAACAAATTATGTAATAAATAAGCTTAAGAGTTGTTGGTATACTGAAGAGATGAGTCACTAGCGAGTGTTATTATTCTAGCCACTGTGCTTCTACTGGCCGCCTCACCAGCCACTCCCCTGCCCGTCAGTTTGAGTCATAACAGCCAGCTGTTTGGTTCATCCCACTGTAAGCTCTTACAGGTTCATTTAGTCTAGTATTTGTGTAGTTTCTACCGAACTTGAAGTGCAATATAAGTTTAAAATTTAAACGAGTTGTGCTTTCTTTAGAAACAAAATTAAGTGTATAAAACGCTTGGATAATGGTGAGTCAGTAAATAAGGTTGCTGCTGGCCTAGGTGTTGGAGAAGTGACTGTGGGAGATTGGAGACATAAACGAAAAGATATTAAACAATCGGTTAATAAAAGTGTGAGTGGTGGAAGTAATTTGTTGTGGAAAACTATGAAGAAAGGAGAATACGAACAGACCTCTGAAGCCTTATTTTTATGGTCTTTTAATCTTCGAGGGTTGGGAAGTCCAAATAGCGGCCCATGCTTTTAGCTAAGGCTGCCGAATTTCACAAACGGTTTAAAGATGGCGAGGAAAATTTTACTGCAAGTAATGATTGGTTTGACAGATGGAAGAAGAGGTATGTCATCCGACAATTGAACCTTAAGGGTTAAACAGTTTCGGCCGATTCATCTGAAATTGAGCCGTTTAATTACAATTGAGAGATCTCATTTAGGAGCATGATCTCACGTCAGATCAAAACTTTAACTGTGACGAAACGGATCTCAATTTCAGAATGCTTCCAACCAAAACACTGGCAGCTCAAAGTAAAAAAATTGCGCGTGGGTAGAAAAAAAAATCAAAGAACGAGTAACTCTTTTGATGTGTAGCAACTCTTCTGGATCTTTAAAATTAAGACCATTGGAAAATCGAAGAATCCAAGGGCTTTTAAAAATATTTAAGTAAACTGTCTATCCATCATGTACAGGAATCAACGTAGTGCGTGAATGGATTGCCAAATTTTTAAAGAGTGGTTTTTTGACGAACCTACTAAAAAAACAAAAACCTATCAAGAAAAGCTATTCTTCTTTTGGACAACGCCCCATCTCATCCAAATGCAAGTTCGTTGGCTAGCGGTGATACTAAAGACACTAAAACTGTTTTCTTGCCACCAAACGTCACATCTCTCATTCAATCTCTGGACCAAGTAATTTTAGAGGCTATGAAACGGAACTATCGTCGAAGGCTTCTCCAAGTGTTGTTTACCTACTTGGATGAGGGAATGACTGTGACAGCAGCCCTTTAAAAGATCACCGTTAAGGATGTGTCTTACTGGATAGCTTCAGCCTGGAATGATGAGAGAGTAACAACTTTGCAAAACGTCATGGCGAAAGATACTTCAAATTGAAGCGAAAAGTTATGGAACATAAATACAAGAAACAAGATAACAATGGCAGTATTGCTGAAATAGTAGATCTTGCTAACCAGTTACCAACGAAACCGCCGATAAATGATGAAGACGTCAACGAGTGGATTATGCAAGATTAGCAAATGGAACTGACTGATGATGCAATTGCCAACACGGCTATCAACCCACACAATGTCGCTGCGGATGACACAAATGAGATAATCGATAAAATATCTCACTCCGTAGGATTGAAGGCGATTGGAGTTGCCCTTGGCTACATTCAGCAACATGAAGAGTCACACGCTACCGACGCCCTTCATCTTCAGCGTTGGCAAAACGTCGCAGCTTCAAAACGAGGCCAGAAGTTGACGCAGAAATCTATCAAAGACTTTTTTAAAACATGAAGATGATCCAGTACGTAATTGTTTTCCTATCTATATATTTTAACTATGTACTCGCATATAGGTAAACATACTTCAATTGTACATAATAAACAAATTACATACGTCATAACTTTTAATTTTTTGTTTATTTTAAGCAACCACCCGATTTCCGGGTTATCCGAGTTTTTCGGTATCCGAGGTATGCGCGGTGTCATTAGCTCGGATGATCGCGAGCCTACTGTATTAACTTTATTTGGTATTGAGAGAGAGAGAGAGAGAGAGAGAGAGAGAGAGAGAGAGAGAGAGAGAGAGAGAGAGAGAAGTTATAAATTCCACAGTTAGGTATTTAAAAATCTTATAAACTAGACAAAACATTATTAACATTGCTATTATTCGATCATTATATTAATTATTATTCCATTAAAACCTTGTGAATGAACCCAAAAAAGTAATCTAAGAACAAAATATAGCTATAGATTAATAATAATACTTCGCAAGACAACAACAAAGAACAGAAATAGAGACACAGTAGATTTTATAAATTGCATTACGACTTCAAATCAAAACGTTTATATCAAAATAATTGATATTATGAAAATACTCGATTAAAAAAAAATCTTAAAACCAAGAAAATATAACTTTTTAACCTCCACATACCTTCATATCGCAAATCTTCCAATATTATAACCGAATTTTCATCAACTTCTTCCGTATTTATTCTTGCTGCACGCATAATGGGAAAAAAAGTTCATTTCTGGTAAATGATTATTTCTCAAAAACTGCTGTAATGTGGGTAATACTTCTCTATAAAACTGGATTTCACTTTTAAACATAGGTATGTTCATTAACGCTTTAGCACTATTAGGTACAACACACTTCACTACGAAATGTTTGGTGCTTTTTACACCAGTTTCTTCCGTTGCGTAGTCTATATGTAGTTGATATATATTGCTCCAGTAATTAGGTGCAATGTTTATTGCATTTGTTAATGTTTTAGCTAAAATATGGGCATCTTTTGGTATTAGTTTTGTAATAAGTTCATCTAAATCTTGTATTTCATTCATTTTAATAAAAATTTATAATAAACAAAAATGTATAACATATCGCATTGAACAATTAAATGAATATACATATCTTATCTATTTTACATTTTTCATTCTTATATCAAGAATAATATTTGATATCGTAAATTATGTAAATTTTATCGACTTTGGAGATTACTTGCGTTAATGTGTTGCCCGTCTTGAAGTATACTCTTGAAATTTAAGTAAACTTTGCTTTTCTAGCCTTTTATAAAGAAAATATTTTAACAATGTCAGACACATCTATATTTTCTGAAATACTCTTACCAATACTAATAATGGATAAGTTTGAAAGCCATTTTACCCCATTGTGCATCGTAGATAATTTTTATAGCGAAGCTTCTATACTGGCGTTGTATTACTTTTTTCTTTATAGTAAAATGCTGAACCGAGCGTCACGAAATAGCGGTTCTTCACGTCGATTCACTACTCTCGATCAATTCGTATATTTATTCTAAGCAGATTTAAATTTAAAACTGCACGAAAAATAACTAACAAAATACAGATTTTGTTAACAAAATATATGCGTTCCGCTTGCCCATTACTACTTGGATGGTATGGTGCAACCAATGCTTGTCTAATAAGGTTTTTCTTTAAAAAATCTTGGAACTCAGCTGACGTAAAACAAGTTCCGTTATCACAGCGGTTCTCAATCTTTTTTGGTGACGGAACCCTTTTGGAAAGCGAAATACTTGACGGAACCCTACAATAAAACGGTAGTTTTTAAAAGTGTATTCTTTATTAATAAGCATAATAAAAGTACAATGTAACAGTTACTTATTACTTACTTATATAACAAGTTTAATAATAGAAGATTATTAAATATGAAAACTTTAACTAATGGGAGGTATGAAACTGTTTTTTATTTTTCATCAATTGGTTGATATCAGGTTTGATAGAGGACATTTGAAGTCTTATATCAGGTTCGGCGTCCAGTCTATTGTGGTATTTTGTTTTCGTGGCTGCATATGCTGAGAATCGTTTTTCGCACAAATATGTTGTTGGGAACAAAAGAAGAATTTTCAGAGCCATTTTGGCAAGTATTGGATATTCATCACGGACTCTGTACCAAAAATCGTTGAGAGGCGTCGTTTTGAACAGTGACTCCATACATGTGCCTGATGACATTTCTAGAAGAGATTCGTATATCTCGTTTGATATACTTTGACATTGTAAATCCATGAATTCAGTTTTATTTTTGTGTTCTGTTATGTTCTTCTGGAACATACTTCTCAAAAGATGCACGCATCGAAGTGAGATATTTGATCAATTCTTCAAATACATCATCTTGGAACATTTCGTCGTTATCGATAAAAAACTCAATGAGTTTCTTTTGAAGGCAGTTATTTTGTTACAGGCCTGAAACACTGTTGTCCGTTTGTAACATAAGAAACACTTGTAGTTCGGATCTAAGTTCAAATAGCCTTGTTAAAGTTTTACCCCGAGACAGCCATCGCACTTCTGTATGGAGCAGCAGGGTTTTATGTTTGCTGCCATAATCTTCACAGAATAATGAGAACAATCGAGATTTTATCGTGATTTGAAAAAATTAATTATTTTTACCGCTTTACCCATAACCAATTTTAGATTTGACGGCATTTGCTTCATCGCAAGTGCTTGTCTAAGCAGGATACAATGGCTGGAACTACAATTAGTAGCTTTATTTTTTATTCGTGACACTAGTCCTGCTGTATTACCTGTCATCGACTTGGCCCCATCTGTACAAATGTCAATGCAATCGTTCCAACTTAGATTATTATCCTCAAAGAATATATTTATTTTATTAAAAATTTCCTCTCCGGTTGTGTTTGTGGGCAGCGGTGAACACAAAGGCATGTCTTGTTCAAAAGAACTTTTATATGGATCTCTCACGATAACCAGCAAGATAGCTAGACTAGCGACATCAGTAGACTCATCTATTTTCAATGCGAATCGTGTTTTTTGTAGACGTGTAACTAGTTCTTGTTTGGTGTAGCTTGTCAGATCATGAATTTGCCGTGAAACAGTATCGTTAAAAAGCGGCACAGTAGAAAGCTGCTTTCCAGATTTTTCATCAAGCATACATTTTGTTATGTCAAACACACATGGTTTTATTAAATTCTCAGCGATAGTGTGCGCTTCACCTGCTTGTGCAATGCGATAGCTAACTAAATATGATGCCTCTGTGGCTTTTTCATTGATAGTTTGAGTTACATGCAATATAGTTTTTTGAGTTTCCAATAACTGTTCTTTTTTACGTAGAAAAAATTTTTTATTCTTACCTTTAGACTCGGGGTGTACAGTTTCTAAATGTCGGCGCAACTTGGTAGGTACCTTGGAACTATTAGGAAACAGTTTACTACATAGGATGCACAGACGTGAGCCGTTGCAATCAACAAATCCGAAACTGATATATGATTCATCATACGTCCTTTTTTTACCTTTGAAATCGTGGAACTTGACGTCGTTGCATAATCGTCTTGATCGGTAATTGACGAATACTCTGCGCTTACTGCTTCCGAACATTCGCCTTCTGTAGAAGATGTTGCATTACGTTAAACGACTTTAAGCCAATGTTCCATTCTTCCAATCGTGCTACGCCGCATCAGAAAAGTCGACCAGAGAGACGTGTTTTGAATTTTTTTTCTAAATTCTCGCGGAACCCCTACAGGGTATCGCGGAACCCTAGGGTTCCGCGGAACACACTTTGAGTATCGCTGCGTTATCAGATACGACGACATCTGGGATGCCGTGAGTGGCAAATAAACCACGTAATACATCTATAGTCACAACACTATAGTGTATTTTTATGTATGAGAGAGTAATAAAACAATAAATTATGTATGCAAATCCCTAAACTGTTGATACGGGTGACTCAATGAAAAACAGATATTTGTCAACAAGTTTACAGAAGTATATAGGAAAACAATTTTAAATTGAGTATGACCACCAGGTATAAAGGTTGGAGCAGAATAGAATATAATAGTTGTGAGGGTTACTAATCCCTAAATAAGGTTGCCAGTGTCGGAGTGATGGAGGTTAACAGGTACTAATGAATTTGCAAGAAATGTAAGATGTTTATTTTATTGGTTATATATACCCAATAAAAGTGTAATAAGTACCTACCTATTTGCAAAATAAAGTTTAATTCTTTAGATAAAATAAAACGTTTTATTTTATCTGAAATGAGTGCATTCCACGAAGTAAGGGTTTCAGCAATCAAACATTTAATTCTTTAATTCCAGGAATCTACGACAGTAATTGACTAGATAATTACCTTCTAACCTTATTCCACAGAAAATGTGATAGTGGGTTTTTCCATTTTGTAGGAAGGTCCAAGTGGCGTATTCAAAATTTTTAACAGTTCACTAAAAGTAGGTACTTCAGTTGCAAGGTGCAGTTTATTGTGTATACTAGTGTTATGGAAAATTTGGAAGTGCCGTGTAAACGCCGAAAAATTGGTCTTTTAACAGTTAATGAAAAAACATTCATATTTAATTGTTTTAAATCATTTACAGACAAACGTTTATGTGAAAGTGTTGATGAGACCGTTGAGTTAGTTTGCAGTACACTTGGTGTTGGGAAATCTACGATTTACAGAGTTATTAAAGAAGAGAAATGTGGTAGTTTTCAAATGCCACGTAATGCTCCAGGGAAACCAAAATTTCAAATAGAATATCATTTTAAAGAAGGACTTCGACGGAAAGTGCATGAATTCTTCTTTAGACAAGAATTTCCAACATTGGATAAAGTTCTTGTCTCAGTTCGAGATGATAAGGATTACCCAGAAATGAGTCGAAGTACGTTATGGAAACTTTTAAAAGAAATAGGCTTCCGCTGGAAAAAGAATCCCAGAAAGTCTATTTTATTAGAAAGAAGCGATATTGTCATATGGAGAAGACATTTTCTAAGAACCATAAAGGAAATGAGAAACCAAAAAAGAAAAATATTTTATCTTGATGAAACATGGATCAACGAGGGTCATACACCAAATAAATTTTGGCAGGATGAAACTGTTACAAGTCAAAGGCACGCTTTTGTAAATAACTTATCTACTGGTTTAAACCCACCATCAGGAAAGGGACGCAGGCTGATAATAGTACACATTGGCAGTTCAGACGGTTTTGTTGAAGGTGGTTTATTAACTTTTGAATCAACTCGTACCGGTGACTACCATGAAGACATGAACGCTGATGTCTTTCGAGAATGGTTCGAACAAATGATAGATCTTCTTCCTAAGAACTGTGTAATAGTAATGGATAATGCAAGTTATCACTCCAGACTTATAGAAGGACTGCCCACAACCAAGTGGTTGAAAAAAGACTTGCCGAATTGGCTGAGTTCAAAAAATATTACGTACCATCCCGGATCTATAAGAAAGGAACTTTATTCGTTGTGTGCCCTTCATAAAGAAAAATTTAAAAAATACGAAATTGATGAAATTGCCAATCGTGGAATGACACTACTTAGATCCCCACCATATCATTGTGAATTAAACCCGATTGAACTGGTATGGGCACAGATAAAGAGTGAAGTTTCAAGAAAAAATACCACTTTTAAAATTCATGATGTTAAACAGTTGTTTTTGGAGGCCGTAAATAATGTAAAACCTGAAAACTGGGAAAAGGCAGTAAATTACACTATTAAAGAAGAGGAAAAAATGTGGAAGCTGGACAATATTACTGATAAAATGATCTAGCCAGTTATTATAAATCTTGGTTCTGAAAGTTCATCTTCTGAATCTGATTTGGATTTGTAACAAGTAGCTGTAAGTTTTATATTAATATTTTTATTCATCTATTTAACATACCTTAGACGGTTTTAAAAACTCTTTTTCTCTTTTGTAATTATTAAAAATTAAAAAAAATGTGAATTTTGTGACTTTTGTTTACATACACATAACACTTTATAACACTGAAATAATTCATT